AATAATAAAAGTCGATTGAGGAGGTTATTTTTGGAGAAATTCCTAGTGGCTTTGGCGCATTGTGACTTAATGCGAATCTAAACAATATAATTGGTAAATCCTCATTTGTTTTATGTATAATAAATACGTAATTAATCAATCAAAAATTCTGAAGTTAATATTCAACAACAAAACTAATTGGTTTTTTAAAATGTAATTTAGTACGTTTGCAAAAATATAATACGAATTGCATGAACATTTAATTAAAATAATTACAAGATTGAAATAATAATTAACTTAACATATACATCCACATAAAATTATTCAGATTATTTTTTATACCATTGAAAAAATGAAAATCTGTTAAAAATAATTTTCAGTATTATAATACAGTTGAGTCTCGATAACATCTCGATAACTAGAACTTCAACAACTCAAAAATCTCTAGCTATACCTCGAATCTTTTAGTGCACCTTGAAGTGTTTTTCAGTTTTGTTTTTAAGGTAGGTTTGGCACTCGAAAATACATGAACCGAATTTATTTTTACTCCCCTTGAGATTTGAGTTATCAAGACTCAACTGTATCTAGTAATTTATTATTATAGTTGAAGAAATAAACTATTAAAGTACTGTTTTGTTATAATTAAACGTCCATGACAAATTTCGAAGCATTACACACACACGCGCGCGCGCACACTCTCTCCCTCTCTCTCTCTATGAAAACATTATAMATATAAACAACATAAAAACTTAATAACTATTTACCAGCGTTCAATATAAATTGAATTTTGTATTTTGACAAAGAATAAATAAATAAGATATCGAAATGTATCGACTAAAAAACAACCAGCTGCCTGTACTTAGTACTTACTATAAAAAAAATTATAAACCATCGAAATTAAACAATTTTATAAATCGTTAACCATCACCCATCCACGCGCGGTTAAACTGTTCTCGTATATTAAGTATCCCACATTCCCACGTTACATGGGACATAAACGTACCCCGTCATACTCGACAGGGTTATATCACAAATAGATAAATGCTTAAATTATATGAAGGAGGTGAATTGTCTGTAATATAGACATAATACACGGTGCAACTAAAATAATTGTTATGTTATGGAACGGTGTCCATGATATTTCTGGTTTTTGGAAAGATAATGAACCAAAGAAAATAGTACCAAACCACTGACATACACACTGCAGTAGTTAAAGATTTGCGTAAAACTCACCGCTGCCTGTTGGGTAGGTTGTTTAAGTACTACAGAGGTCAGGGTGGCGTTAATCGTTACAATATACATACAGTCAGGCGTGCCCGTGATTTATTGCCGAACGCTATTTCCCGGACGTTTGTCGTCATTTCCATTCTACCGTGTGTGTGTGAAATATATATATAGAGAGAGAGAGAGAGAGAGAGTGAGAGAGAGAGAGAGAAAGAGAGCATGTAAGCCGGATGTACGGTGGTGTTTCCATTAGTCCCATTGTTTACGACGTGTTATTGGATCTTAATAATGGTATATACTATATAGTATATACCTACCTATAACTTATAAGTGTATAGTATGCAACGAATTTGCTTTCAAAGGGTTGACTATATATAAAACATTTAAAAAGACTTTTCAATGTTTATACACGTGTTTTTTTGACACGTGTATTTCTTATTTTATCCACACATTATAAAAAAAAAAATAGTTACGTATATAAAATATGAACTGATTTGAGATTTTAAGTGAAACAAGGTAGGTATGTATAATGTATTAGTTGTGCCTACAAAGTGTTTTTCTTTTTCGAAAAATAGGTAGGTGCCTACTCAGATAATTGAGGTCTGAAATTGTAACTGATATAAAACAATTGGTAAATTATGTTTAAGTTAATTTACTGCAGACCTTATTATATATAGGTGTACATTTTTAAATCAATGTTAAAGGTAAAAATAAAAATAAATTTAATGCAAATAATTTTAAGGAAATACCAATAAATTCGAGGATTTAAAATATTACTTTTATTATTATAACATACGGATACGGTACAGGGTGTTGCAGGTGCAGTGCCCCAGAGTTTTCCATTTACTCATAAGACCGAGTTGTTATACAACATAGGAAAGCCGAAAACGGTAAATCCCTATTAAATGTATGATATATTTTTTTTAGGTTAGAATAGATACCAGGCCTATTATATATACAATATTACAATGTCAATGTAAATGTAATATATAGTTGTATCAATTATGTTAAATACCTATGGTTAATATAAAAATCACGTATATACTTCAAATCACTTACAAAATAAATAAATAAATATTCTCCAACAAGCTTCT